GGCCCCGTCCTGCTTCCCGCCCCCTGAGGAACCCCATCTTGCTTCCCACCCCCTGAGGAACCCCGTCCTGCTTCCCACCCCCTGAGGAACCCCGTCCTGAGGGATTTTAGCAAGTCTTTTCTTTGGGTCACACTCTTCTGACCTCAAAATAGAAGGGCTGGAGGGCTTGGCCACCTGCTCCTGCTGGGCTCTGGGGACCCGTGTCCTGGAGGTTTAGCTGATCCAGGCCCCAGGGAGGCAGCTGGTTGGTCTGAGCAATGAGTGTGTGTGCAAGAGAGAGTGGTGTGTGTGTGTTGCATCTGGCTAGGCCCTCCCCTCCTCAGCGGCCCAGAGAGGTTAGGTGGCTTGTCCAGGGTCGCTCAGCTGGAAAGTGATGGAGCAGAACTCAAATCCAGGCAGGCTGGCTCCGGAGTCTGTGTTTATCCACTCACTAAGCTGCCTCTGCCAACAACCTCAATGGGAGAGACATTCTCAGGTCATCTGGCCACACCGTCCAGGCCACACATTTGTTATGTCCTGGCCCAGGAACTCCCTGAGGGCAAGAGCCTGCCCTTGGCTGCTCAGCAAAGACTCCGCTAGCTTGTTGACCAGGGAAACCACAGACTCCTCAGTGCGGCCGCCGGTCAGTTGATGTGGAACTCGCACGGGGTCAGACAAATACGCTGGGGGACTGGCATGTGGGGGGCAGCGGCCAGGCCAGACGGGCAGAAAGGCCCTGCAGCTCAAATCCACGAACAGCACCCGGGACAGAAGCCACGGCTGGCCGCTGCCCTCCCTCTCCCCTGCACCCCGAAGATGCCAGGCGACCCGGGCACCTTGGTGGAGGCACAAGCCCCTACAGGAATGAAACTGGGCTGGTTACAGAGGACCAGCGCGCCAAGGGCTGGCAGTCCTCACGGGCGTGAACTTTCGGCCCTCTCCCCTGCCGCCACTCAGCTCAGCCCTTGCCCAGCTGTTGTTTTCCGCCTGAGGCTGGGTTCCTTCCCTCCCATGTGCTGTGGGTTGGGGCCCGGCCAGACAGGGATCGCGAAGGCTGAGCTGCCCGGGAGCAAGAGTAGAAGCTGTGTGGGCAGGGCAGCCCTGTGGGAAGCCCCACTGCTGAGTCTCCGCCCCTTCCCTGGCCTGGCAGAGCCAGAACCCCTACCTGGGGCACAGCCCCACCCTAGCCCTAAAAAGCACCCCCCCCACCCCGCTCTTGGAGAGGAAAGAAACCATGGAGTGGGCTCCTGGGTCCAGTTCCTCTCTCCCCACCTGGAGCCCCCGGCAGTCAGCCCCAGACTCTGCCACTTTCCAGATGGCCAACAGCTGGCCTGGCCGAGTGACTGCCAGATGTGGCCGGCGGGGCCGCCGCTGGCTCCGCTGGGCAGAGGTCACCACATCGGAGCAGTCCCGGGGGCTGGTGCCCAGGGAAGGAATGTGTTTGGCTAGTCTGGGGGCAGCGCGCCCCAATACCCCCCCCATCTCCTCTCCCCAGCCCGCATTCTTTGCCTCTCCACCGCAGTGGGGTGGCGTTTTCATAACAGGAAAGTAAAATCAATAAGGCGCTGCAGCAAGACGTCAGCGCGCCGCGAGCTGGCCTCCGATAGCTCCATTGTCTCGGCCTCGGGCTGCGCGCCGGCAGCGCTCAGTTATTAATGGGAAGCAGGGCTGAAGGGGGGTTTTGAAAACCACAGACACAAAGGCGAGCACACCTGGAGCGCGGCTTCCCGACGGCGCGAGCACCGCACAATGGCTGGGGCCCGGCCCCCCGCCTTTAACTTCTCTGGCAACTTTCATGAAAGCAGGAGAGAAAAGACCAGACATGCCTGCGCACACAAACACACACGCACGCTCGGGCTCCCGGGGGCGGCTCTGAATGGCGGGCAGAGGCACAGGCGGCCTCGGAGCCCCTGCCTGGCCGGCCGAGGACACAGGATGACGACGCATGGGCTTCCTGCCACCAGCCATGGGCCTGGGCTCTGAGCAGCATGACGGGACCAGCTAGAACCCATGCCAGGCAAGAGCCTTGGTGACATTTTCATTTCGACGTCGTGGTTTAGCAGCACAGCCTGGGACCTGCTGTCTTTATCGAGGCTAGAGCCACCCCCCGAGGAGAGGAACGACCTGGAGCTCACGCCCCCAAGCCCGACGGCTGGGGCCAGGGCCTGGGTCCCTGACCTTGACCGGCTTTCACGGACACGGTGTGCCTCGGTATCCTCAACTGCAAGAGGGGGGTGGCAAAGGCACTGACCTCCTGGGTTGTCTGGGGCTCGGAGTGGACAGTGAATGTGAGCATTCCCAGCACCATGGTGAGCAAGTGGGAGCTTTATGTTCATTTGTGACTTATTGCTGGTCTGCCTCTTCTTGCAAACCCAAGTTCCTGGCGACTCCAGGGGGCTTGCCTGTCTACATTCACCTCCTTAGGGATCCTGTATTGCCAACTGAGTTTCCCCGTCATTGCACTCATTAAATAGCATTTAACGAACGTGGCACAAGACAATGAGTGTCCTCAGTACCTCCTTGTTTTCCTACAAGCTAGTCATAGAGAGAGACCTTATAAAAATAAAAATAAAACCACGTGAACGGAAACAGCTGTCCAGCCCAGCTCTGTGGGGACCAATGCTCCAGAGAACGCAGCGCCCAGTGCCCAGTGCCCAGCGCCCAGCGCCCAGCGCACAGGCTGTAAGCCCGTGGAGCTGGCCCAGGCCTCAGAGAGGACACAGGTCTTACCTTGGTGGTGGTGGCGGAGGCAGAGCTGGCCACGAGGCTGGTGATGGCCTCGCCACTG